AGTCTCGACGGCTAAAATATTACCTCTAGTCTCAGCTCAGTCCTCAGCAGCCTAAGAGGGTGTTCACTCAGGAACAATGGGCACGTAAGCAAGTGATCTTGCTTGCTAAATCTTCGCTTCCGTTCCAGTTTCTGGCCCATAAGGACTTTGCGGAACTCATTGAGTTGGCGCAGTTAGCCCCGTCAACGCCGCAATTACTCAACCCAGTGACTGCGCGTCGCCGCCTCCAGTCGATGGTTAAAGAGGGCCAGGAAAGAGTCCTCCTAGACCTTCCACCAACTGCAAAGCTCTCGATTGCCCTCGACTGTTGGACATCCCCGTTTCAGCAAGCCTTTATGGCCATCACTGGCTATTTTATCGACAAAGACTGGAAGTATCGCGAGACTCTGCTTGGCTTTGAGCCGCTCCATGGTGCACATTCTGGTGTAAATTTAAGCACCATTCTGATGGAATTACTTCAAAAGTACGATATTGTCAATCGCGTCCTAGCGATTACAACAGATAACGCATCGAACAACAATACCTTGATCGAAAATATCCAGGAGTCTATCCAGTCACTCAGGCTACCTAATCAGGCACTTATTGTCCGGATACCATGCTTAGCTCATGTCATTCAGCTTAGTCTTCGGGATCTTCTTGGTCGGATCAAAGCCAACCCAAAAAATGACAACCCAGGCAGGGTCTGGTCGGATTCTCAAAAACAGTCCCTTCGCAGCAGTCGGGGTGAACAGGATATTACTTATACCCTTTCAAAGGTAACCCCTCCCCCTACATACTTATATATAGGGCAATACTAAAAGGACCCTAGAATTGAGTATTTGGACCCCATGGCCTTACGCTAAGCCTAATTAGGCCTAGCCTAGTAATTGTAATTCCAATGCATTAATCGGTAAAAATGCATCAGTTCTTGGCAGTGCTGGATGCCCCGGGTATCGGCGGTCATAAACCTTGGGTACTTCATTTACTATGCAGCTCTCTAATAAAATTAAGTCACCACCGTTTCTTACCAACAACCAACTGGACTCAGTAGCTTCTTGACCCCAAGATACTTCCATTTACTATGCAACCCCCTTATTAAATTAAGTACCGACCACTGCTCAATTTCCTAGAATCGCACTAGTCCCAATTAGGAAACAGAGGCTGATTTGAAAACTCCGCAGATTTGAAGGAATCCAGCTATTGTGGTCAAAACGTACGAGAAAGCAGTAAATTTTGACATATTTCCTATATACAGATATGTCCAATGCGTTCTGACGCTATTCAGAGAGCTCTCCGACGCTTCCTGAGCCGGTCGGACCAGGTATTCTGAGCCTGGGCCGCGCCCTGGGCCGTAGACGAAGCTATTCCTAGTGCCTGAGATGCCACCGGCGACGTAGGAATGCTTGCAGACAATGCCTGGGCCGTAGACGAAGCTATTCCCAGTGCCTGAGATGCCACCGGCGACGTAGTCGATGCGATTCCCGACGCCTGCGACGTAGGACTGCTCGCCGGCGACGTCGGGGCCGTAGCCTGAGCTCCCTGGGCTATAGACGAGGCTATTCCCACCTGTTGTGTGCCTCCACGTCCTCGTCCTCGGCCTCCACGTCCTCGTCCTCGTCCTCGACCTCGTCCTCGACCTCGCTGTCCCCCCCCGTTGTATCCGCCGACCCTCCCGTGCTTCCTGGGCATCCACGATCTCAAACAGCGACGGATCCCGCTGCGTAGATGATGCCGTAGACGTCGGAAGGTTATTCAATGCGCCCTTAGGCCGCCCGCGGATGCTGGTAAGGATCTCGGGTTCTTGGAGAAGGTGGCTAAGGCCGATCGGCGGTGCTTCGGTCTCGTAGAGGTGCCACTGGGTATGAAACTGCGATAATTTGACAGAGACACCTATCATGTCAGCCCATTTGATGTCATGGATGCAGGGATAGCCCGTAGCCTTGCAGCCAGGCGTACAACCGACGGCGAAGGGTCTCTTGCCGGGTATACCCTCATCCTCCGGAAGATGCGCATGGTATAGCTTTAAGACCCGCCCGATCGCTTTTCGTGAAACCAGCCGTAAGACGTCACGGACGATCGGATGCCGCATAGCAGATAATACGGTCGGCGATCGCGCTTTCTCGTCGGCGATAGCTTGCTGAGAGAGCTTGAATTGCCTAAGAATAACAGTCTCGAAGCAGTGAAGCAGGGCAAGGAGGTTACGCCGCGAATTCTGGAGGTCTTTCTTTAGAGCTGCATGAGCACCCTCCACGCGAGATGTCGATGTCTCGCCGAGGTGGAAGAAGCTATTCGTAAAACAGCGTAGCACCTGCCGACCGGACTCGATGATCCAGTGCTTCTCGATATAGGTAAGGAGGTTCGAGAAGACTGGCTCACTATAGCAGCTACAAAAGTATAGCCACTGCTCTCTCATACGTTGCTCAGTCTCAGCGAAGACGACTCGATTCCAGCGCTGCAGCATCTTTAGCCAAAAAGCAGTGGCATACGCGATGTATGCCTCCTTCTCGACCTCGCCGGCGTCAATCAGGGCCTTCACATGTTTCCTAGCCGCCGGTATAGCCTTCGCCTTGATATTCGAGATAACATGCCACAAGCATAGCAGCGAGGCTGTCGTTGGCAATGCTACTGCGAGCGCATTGAGGAGGGCTTTCTCTTTATCAGTGAATACTGTGAGAGGCTTCCCGAGGCCATATTCATCGTAGATACCTTGTAGACAGCGTAGGGCCCAGCGATACGCGTCCTCGCGCTCACTCGGTAGGAATGCGAAGCCGACACAGAATGACCTCCCGATCGAGTTGACGCCAATGATATCTAGCAACGGCATATTGAAGCGGTTAGTCTGATACGTACAGTCCATCCATAGCACCGAGGGAGACTGTCGAAGCTGCGCAAGGCCAGTACGATGTATCGCGAAGACGCCTGATACTGTCTCGCCGTCGGCTTGAGTGGTATGGCGTAAGATCCAGTCTCCATGCTTCGGCAGCTCTTCGAAGAGGGCTTGTATCGGCGTCCGACCGGCAAGAAGCTCTTGAAGAAGACGTCTAGCACGGTTGTAGATGTCCGCCGGCCTAAGATGAATGCCCTGGCTAGCTAGAAGCGAGATGATCTGGCGTGGAGGGATCCCTTGGCGTATAAGAGGATCTAGAGTATCAAGATGAGGCTCGAGAGCTCGCCGGCGCAGCGTAGGATGAGTTGATTGAGGCCCCGGTTCGTGATTGTGCTCTCCATGATCGACCTGTAACCGCCAGAGACCGGTCTCCCGCTGTAGGCGGAGATTCAGACCGTACTCGCAGCCAGTCATAGACGTGAATGTCTGCCGAGAAGGTCTAGATAAAGCCGTATTCGCCACAGGAAGCTCGGGAGAAGCCGCCCGGCTAGAGTCTGGGCGTCTACCACGGTCGCATCGAAGAACCACGATGTATAGCCCATCGGTAGCGTTGGATTTGGTACGGCGCTTAACGACTGCGTAGCCAGTAGGCCCGAGGATGCCATTTATCGTATCAATTCCTTCCTGGAAAGTCCCGAAGAGCTGCCCGTCTTCGATTGTAGGTGTCTCCGCCGGCTCAGGGTCGATTTCAGGGCCGATTTCGATAGGATCAGGGGTAAAGAAGCGACTCGATGAGGCCGACGACCCTGCGAGACTCGAATCCCAGTCAGTCTCATTGAATTCAGGGGTGTGGGAGCCGATTCTTGGTGCCATTTCGACGTTTTGGTAGAGGGATGTCAACAAACAGTATGGTGATAGTTGCAACGCCCTCACGGGGCCAGTATCGCTATTTGTGAGCTGAAAATTTCAATAGAGACTGATTAGCCATTTCTGAGCGATGAAATAATTTTAGAAATTCGTATCGGCTATATTGGTGATGTTGTGATGTGTTGAAATTGGCGAGATGCATGAAGCCGTAGACATGGAGTTGGCGATGCCCTAATTACGGGGTAATTAATTAGTGGTGCTGACCTTTTAGGACTAGTGCGATTCTAGGAAATTGAGCAGTGGTCGGTACTTAATTTAATAAGGGGGTTGCATAGTAAATGGAAGTATCTTGGGGTCAAGAAGCTACTGAGTCCAGTTGGTTGTTGGTAAGAAACGGTGGTGACTTAATTTTATTAGAGAGCTGCATAGTAAATGAAGTACCCAAGGTTTATGACCGCCGATACCCGGGACATCCAGCACTGCCAAGAACTGATGCATTTTTACCGATTAATGCATTGGAATTACAATTACTAGGCTAGGCCTAATTAGGCTTAGCGTAAGGCCATGGGGTCCAAATACTCAATTCTAGGGTCCTTTTAGTATTGCCCTATATATATATTGCTAATCAATCAGCCAGATTCGTGGATTCGCGGTATTCGTCAATGCTAGCCCTCAGCGAAGGGAGGCCTTTCTCAGTCTTCAGCCAGATGATCCAAAGCTTGTTCCTCTTCAAGATGTTAGGACTCGTTGGAATTCAACATTCCTTATGCTTCGACGCGCAAAGCGCCTTTCTACGACGTTTGACAAATACTGCGAGCTACATACGCAATCTCAATTCAAGCTCAACGTAGAGGAATGGCGACAAGTTGATTATCTTCTCTGCATCACACATCCCTTCTATACATTCACGACTCGTCTCTCTCAAACGAAGGAGGTCACTGTTCATAATGTCTTTCGGGTCTACTACCAGCTTTTTGATCACCTCGAGGGGTCAATGCGACGACTCTGGAAGAAGAAAGTTCCTTGGAAACAAGCAATGCTTCATGCCCTTGAAGCAGGAAGGGAGAAGCTAAAGCTCTACTATAGGAAAACTGCGGAAGTGCATGGAAATCTCTATGCAATCGGTACTATTCTTGCTCCACAGCATAAGCTACAGTTCTTCTCCAGAGGAGAATATGGCGATGACGCTGAGTCTCGTCAGACATACAAGGAATGCCTTCAAAAGTTCATGGAACCCTACCAAAAGCCTATTTCCGATGCACAGCGGCCGCACCAACACCCCCCACAAACGAATAGAGATGATATGGAAGATCTTTTTGATGAGGATATGCTTGATGTCTCCTCTCGAGAGAATACAAATACCAATGATGAATTGACTGAGTATCTTGGGACAAGTAAGCGTCACGAAACCCTTTCTGTCAACCTGTCTTTACTTATCATGCGATGTAGGCCAAAAGAAAATCGCTCCGCTAACCTTCTGGAAAGAGCACGAGCGTGAATTTCCAACACTGGCAAGGGTTGCACGGGATATTTTCTCTATTCCTGCAACTGGTGCAGGCGTCGAGCGTGTATTCAACTCGGCTCGAGATGTCTGTCATTATCGTCGGGGATCACTGAATGCCGCAACAATCCAAGATATTATGATATTCCGATGCTTCGACAAGCAGGATAAAGAAGACGATACTTTAGAAGACGTAGCTCTCACCTCTGAAGAAAGGCAAGAGGCAGACGAGCGTCAAGAAGCTGACCTTCCTCAACAAATTCCTGATCCGATTAGTGATGACGAAGAGGATGAATCACTATCGTTTCCGGATGAGCCTTCTGTTGAGTTACAGACACGACCCTTAACTCAACGGGCACTGGGAAAGAGACGACAGTGTACTCCCGAGCAGGGCCAGGAGGGTGGTGATGAGGCGGAATTTGATGACGATGCTCAGCCTCTGCCTAGAAGTAGTACTCAGACACGAGTATCTAGTAGGCAGAAGCGTCCAAGACGAGAGGATGAGGACTTTACGTATTATATGTGAATGTTGGACGAAGAATTAACCCAGATTATTATGTTATTGTACTGTTTGCTTGGACCCCGTTCATTCAGTTATAGCCCGTAGGCTGTAAGCCTAATACTGAAAGAAACAGTCAAAGCTGTATAAGTTATGCAAGGCACAGGTGAGACGATTTTGCTGACACTTTAGTCCCATGGGGATTTCCTTTAGTCCCATGGGAGTCCGACAGGGTCTTGGTCCCGCCCATGGGACCGAGGTTTGGTCCCATTGCACTCCCATTTAGTCCCATGGGACTGGTCCCAAGGGACCAGTCCCGTGGGAGTTGAAGAGGTCTACTTCAGACTATGGTGATTGACCTGCCGTCCACTCAATAAATTCCTCCTCTTGCCATCCCAAGCGAGAATATTCTAGAACAAATCCATGTCAGCTCTGCATATGACGCACTGCTTTCCAACTTACCAGAGTTGAATATATCACAATCTGCACCTGCATCTGGAGAATTGCATAAATCCACCTGAAAAGTGGTTTCTCTGATGGTGCTGTTGCCAGTTTCATCCCTAAGCCTGGATTTCAAAAAACCTGTGGTTTGGCCATTCGCACCGGTACAGATAGCAGAATGCACAAAGCACCAGTCGAAACAGCCCTCGATAAAGCACCATTTAGTGATCGCTTTCTTGCATGATGGGCTACATAAAATCCTCTTGTCAGCATTCGTCTTTTTAGAACGGACGGAATGATGCAACCGACCAGTTTCGCCCCTCGACATAAGCTTCAACATCGTCGACAGCTTCATGCGTCCTCTCTCGCTGTTCTTGCTGATCGGCTATCATCTGATCCTTGAAGTCCAACGTCGTCGCTATGGGGATTCGCGTGGATACAACCTGCTCGGATTGGCTATGAAGCCAGCGCGGATATTTCCTTAGGGCCTGACCTTGTCCAAATTCATGACTTGCTTCACATACCTGTCCCTCACGGTGCTCTCGTTGGGTAACATGGTGCTACTCCTCTCCCAGGGCCTAATGAAGCCCGCATCCATACTTGCCACTTTGGCTTCCATTGTGCTCAGTCTCCTTTTAAGTTCTATGTTGTCAGACATGAGGGTGTTCACCATGCCCTGCAGGCTCCGGACCGTCTTTGTGCTGCTGGGTTCGGCTGTCCCATTGTCGTTAGCCTCATTGTCTGCCACTGCCACACTGACACCCCCAATAGCCTTCTCAATTTCGCTGAAGTCGTCCATTCTGTTAGACAGGGGTGTTTTGAAGCGGAACGTTGTAGTTCATTTGATCTGGGTTACTCGACTGAGTAGAAGACTGTCAAGAGAAACAATGCATGCTGTAAGGGGTAGAGTAAAACTTTCAACACGGTATGTTACAGTTTAATTACTGTATTGGTTGGAACTTACTCTTTTCTTCACTTTAGTGTAGCATAGCGCTTCCTTTGCTTGCAGTGGGATTTCGACACAGAATAGCCAATACGTGTGATCCAGCATCCGTGACGTGGCAGCAGCACGCGCTGCAACTGCATGTTCTTTCTTCAACCTCCTCTTCCACGTCCCTGGATTCCAATGGAATTAATCCTTTTCTAAATTTCCACTCGCAAACAGCAGCGTATCATTCATGTCGACATGTTTGAGGCCATGACCGTGCGTCTTGTTGCCCATAGCGCAGAAATATCGCTTGGTACAAAATCGTGCGTTCCGTTGGGTCTGGTTACGGGTCTCCCGACGAGCCGCTCGTTGGGCAGTCGGGGAGAACGTGACTTGGCTGAAGTCCCATTTGCCCTTCTCCCTTGCGCCCTATTCATATCGATTTCGGATGATACGTCAGAGTTACGTCCATCGTGCATGAAGGCGGTCTTTCAAATCGCTGAAGAACAACGGCCTGATGTCCTATGAAAAGCTCCTCTTGATTGGAGATCTGTTGGCTGGTACCCTGAATACTGGAATTTTATGACTGTATTGAGATATGGAAAGAGCAGCTGGTGGGCTCAGGTGGCTTTGTGGATTGTAGAAGACCAGAAGCCAACCCTTTCGTTAAAAATGACGACGACAAGTGTGACGAACAGCACACACCAGGCAGCATAATTCTGCCGGGAGCACTGAGTCTTTTGAGTACGCGAGAATCGTGGGCACGATTGCGCGACAGAGGCTACCATGTTCCACAGGACGAACCCGCAGTGACGGACTCAACTTGTGACTTGGCACCATGCCGATTAATATGTGACCAAAGCTCTGATTGTAATTGTTCCCTTGAATCAATCTCCTGCGCCCATCTAGAAGAGGAAGAATCCGAAACCGCCAAGTCTGCCAAGGGTGAAGAAAGTACGTTTATTCGAACAATGGATGATAAATTCTTAAAAATTCGTTTTGCGAACGACATTTACCAGAAGAGCCTCACAAAACAAAGATGAGAGCTGTTATCGGACGGCAGGGACCTACACGGGATCTTGTGGTGAACGCCACCGTTTGTGGTAATTTTCATCCCTTTTTGCGCCCTTCGTTGGAACATTAAGATTGCTTTAGATTGTGTGCCGTACATCCTGATGGATATGGCGATACGGACAGCTAGTTGGTTCGTTATCAGTAGTGGCAAGACCTTGGACGCTCTAGCTGCCTGGCATTGATCCTTGAACCTAGTGTCTAAGACTACTAGATAAAGTAATGTACGCCCCTAGAGCCCCTCGAAGAGCTTTAGAAAGGATAGAGCTACGTGGGTAGTAATAGATTGATTTGGGCCGTTGGCCCTTGGTGAACATTAGTCTAATAGCCAACATTCGTTAATTGAGAACTTCACTAGTATAGTCATTCTCGAAATTGCCTTGACCATATACGCTGAGTAACCTTCTGTGGCCCCGACATCAAGGCTATAGCGCAGATAATATACTGCGCAAGCCGCACCAAGGTGAGAGCCGCAGTATTATGCCATCTGTGTTATGCCGCCATATAGTACAGTGACCATCCAAGTTTACCGTTCAATGGTCAAAAAGTAGAATGCAATTACACATGGCATGATACCGGACCATACTGAAGCATTTCCCTTTGCCCATGATATTCTTGTTGGCCAAGCCTTGGTGGTGGGACAAGGGAAGAATTACTCAGCGTATATTGGTTAAGCCGATTTCGAGAATGACCTCCAAGCTCCCAGAAACTGCGAGATCGCCGAGTCACGTACACTTTCTGGCACCTAGTACTTCCACAGAAATTTAGCTCAAAATTATTTCACCTGCTCACTGAGCAGAGGGGTGAGCAAGGGTGAGCAAATTAATTCGCTTCCCATCCCCCATTGGCGGTCTGTCACCGCCTTACCGAAGTTCTCATCTACCAACATCCAGATATTCGCAACATGGCGCCAAAAATCCGTCTCTCAAAGCTCGAAATGATTCAGGATATGAAATTGAGCAAATCACTGACTGCATCTCAAACGGCCAAAACTGCTGGATATAGAAAGCGTTCAATCATCAACATCAGCAGCAATATTCTCCGGTTCGGAAGTGTCAGAGTACCTTCAACTCGCGTCGGTCGACGACGAATTATAACCCCCTCGATGCTAGAGCACTGTCTTGTCGCCTCATCTAAAATCCTAGATGGTATGTGGACAAAATGGCAATGTTTTAATGGGACGAGTTCCGTATCCAGGTCACAATCTCGAGAAGATGGCTCAACAGAAAACAAAGGAGCAAAACGCCGATTCACGAGATTTCTATATATATAAACTGTCGGATATTATCTCATATGGCTTGTTCTACATGAATGAGTCTGTGTGTTATAAATTAATCAGGCTCAGACGTACAGGTTAGTCTCCGGTGGGCGCGGCGCCAATAGAGGTAGCCAACTTCCATCGAGATCCGCGGTTTAAGATAATAGTCACATATTGTCAAGGTTGAATCGTGCTCGCTCGTATATTTCCAAGCTCAACGGACGCTGCAAAATTCGAAATCTTCATTGAAAATACATATATTGAGGCATGGCCACTCGAGTGCTCAAATAGGCTTTGTCTTTGGTACAAGATGTCAGTGGTTGGTACGGTTGGGCACCCTTGCGTCTTTGTATTTTTTGTTTCAACAATGCGGGGTAGCTAAGAGCAAGTGATAACCGTCTCATTGACCTCTACGAGGCTGTTCTGGAAACCTATTCAATCTGGGTTATCATGAAGTGGTGTTCGCTCTGCGATCGTTCGTTTGGCAGCCAGGACGCTCTTGACCAGCATCTTCGTGACTCGCCCGCGCATGCTCCATCATATGATTGCGAACCTTGCGATCGGTCTTTTGGCAGCCAGGACGCTCTTGACCAGCATCTTCGTGACTCGCCCGCGCATGCTCCATCATATGATTGCGAGCCTTGCGATCGGTCTTTTGGCAGCCAGGACGCTCTTGACCAGCATCTTCGTGACTCACCCGCGCATGCTCCATCATATGATTGCGAACCTTGCGATCGGTCTTTTGGCAGCCATGACGCTCTCGACCAGCATCTCCGTGACTCGCCCGCGCATTTCCAGCTGCCTAGAACACCGCTAGACAGATTTTTCCTATCGTTTGATACCTTTGTATATGATCCGACGTTACCGCCGAGTGAATCATACTGGTCTTTACAAAGGTACTATGGTTGGCGCAGAGGCGAAGAGGACTCTGATCAAGCTTGGCACCAGTTCCAGGAAGCTCTTAGTCAAGAGTTCAAGCTCTGGTTTGGAGCAGAGGATGACCTTGCCGCTTGGCATTCACTTTGCCGCGCTGTGAAAATTGAACCATTACCGAGAACTTGTCTCGGCTGCGAAAAGGTAGTAGATGTTACCAAAATTTCCTGCAACATCCTGTTAACAACGAGCAATAGGCTGCGCGAGGGATATACGTCAATATCGTTGACTTGATTGACTGGGCTCGCAGCAGGGGAGAGCACAGTGACCTACGGCTCTTCCATAGCTTAGAGGAACTGCGAGATTACACCAGGACAACCCGCAAAATCTTTTGTAATAATCTTGACGAGACAGGAAACGGCAACGTAGTCCTTAGGCATTTGCTTCGATTTATATTGCGAGAAATAGAAATCTCCTAGTGACACACCCAGTCTCGACCACAGAGGCAGTCTTTTAATTTAGATAGGCAACAACGTGCTTTCACTGTCGGCCGTCTTAGGCCGTGTGTCTGTTTTGTTTGTTCTAAGGAACCCTTGTGTAAGTTAGAAATGTTGTAACTGAAGTTATCTGAGAACCATTCTCAATTTGAGTCTGGCCAATCAACCGATCATAGTCATTCGTCAGTCCCGCTGCCAAGATAGCTCTCTCCGGGTAAAGGTTCTTCCATAGATCAGATACTCAGTCAACCACCACCCCCACTCCCCCACTTCCATGAGGCTTCTGATGGAATTTGAGGTGATAAGATATGCGATATCTCGACATTAAAAATAGCAAGACTTTTCAAGAAAGAAGATATGGTGAAGGATGATTCCCACGTTGACGTCCTTGGTGTCGGACCCTCAGCGACCGGTCGCAGAAAGCTAGGGCCAGCCTGCCTTGATTCTCCAAATTACCTCAAAAGTCAACACAACTAATCAGCCTGAGAGAAAGCCCATACTCTTGTATGCTTCATATTGATTATGGTGGCTGTTGCCAAAAGCGCGAAATACTTCATAGCCTATCGTGGGATACGCGCGGTTGTCAAGCCAACTCCTCAACGGAGCGGCTTCCTTAGGTACTGTACTGCTCACTGACATTTCAAATATCTCTGCCCAGCACCAGAAGATCTGGCCCGAAAGATCTGAGGATCCCTTCACTACAAATTCGCCTCTCCCTCAAGTTACCATACTACCTCAGTTAATCTTCACCCGAGCTTCTCTTTCTCTCGTAGTCAAATGTCCGTCACGGATTGAAGTTTGTCTTATTGTTTGTCATACTACGTCCCAAAACTGGTGCAACTACTTCGCTCTTCGATTCGAACCCAATGCCAAGGCTTACTAGTCCAATCCGGAGTGGCGCTGGGAAAATAGAAATTCATATATTGCTATCAATACCCAGGCAGCTTGGATCAGGCTATAAAGCAAAAGAACGTTTGGTACATGTACATTACTCTGCTCGATATCTTATGCGCAGACAATTGTGTCTCAAGGCACAGATCCAGCTTTGGGACAAACGAGAACTCGCCACGGTTTGCATATAAACGCTCCTCCAATTCATCGCTCTTTTTTCGTCCCCGAAGTCCCTAGTATTCCAAGACTTGAACTAATACACCATGACCTATTCCATGTCGTTTCCATCATGCCGATAAGGAGGCGATGTAGCAAAAAAAAAATAACAAGAAGCGCCCTTGGATTCTAAGATCCCAGACTCGCCCGGGGGAGGGATCCAGTAACATATCCGATTAGGAGCTCTTCGATGCTCTAGCAAGAACTAGTTCACTTAAAGCGGTTCATGCGCAGCTTATAGTATTTTGGAATACGCCTTGATGATGGAATGAGTTGCTTGGGTAGCAGGCGAAAAGTTGACCGTGCACATTGGTCTGCATTCATTGGCTGGTTTGTCATGAAGCCATCGCTGAACTAAAGGGATATGCAGCTGGCTCATTTCCTGCAGCCACATAAAAAGCAGAACCCGCGTTCGGAGTCAATCTTGGGAGTATTTAAGTGCGTACAAACCACAGGTAAGCGGCAAAGCTAAAGGTGGCAGAAAGGCTTTTGGGTTTAGATTTGCGCAATGTCAATCTCGAGGTGGGATGATGTGGACAAAGTCGGGGCGCTATTTGGCAAGTGAGATTGATCATACTTAAACGACCGACCAGCGAGGCGAACAATGCAAGTGACCGGCCAATAAGAACCTTGGTCTTGTTGGGAGGATGCGTGAGGCGAGGGATCTGAGCACGGGATTTTAGAGTGGACGAAGATGGGGCGTGACCACCCACCTGAATCTTCACTTACTCTCCTTCTGCGTTACCATACCTTCAGCGTTTCCGCAGCACGAATTCAGGCTCCTCGGCGTGCAATTCACCATGTCCATTAAATCAGCTGGAATCGAAACCATTGTTGTAGACTCCGTGTCTCTCCTTCAATCGGTCATAGACGCGGCGGTCATTGGGCTTCGGACCGACGTTCCATCACTTTTCATGGACCTGGAAGGGATACAGCTTGGCCGACATGGTTCAATCTCAATCATGTCCCTCTATGTGCCCTCCAGGAAGAGTGTATATCTCATCGATATATGCAGACTGGGAAAAGAAGCATTTTCGACTGTCAATAGCGACAAAAAATCTCTCAAATTCATACTCGAATCTCCGGTCATTTTGAAAGTGCTATTTGATGTTCGGCATGATTCAGACGCGTTGTACAGTCTCTATGGAATCTCCCTTGACGGTATCAGGGATGTCCAACTAATGGAACTCGGGACGAGAAAGGGCCCGAAAGATTTCTTGGCCGGCCTAGACAAATGTGTGGAGAAAGACAGTACGATTTCTGCAACGGAGAAAAAGGCATGGGGGCTTACCAAAGGCAATACTCGACGACTCTTCGATCCTGCTTTCGGCGGGCGATACGACATATTCAACGAGCGACCCATTCAACCGGCGATCGCAAAATACTGCGTTGGAGATGTTACTTTGTTGCCAGATCTTTTCAACATTTATGGCGCTAAGCTAAATCGACCTGGAGAGGAATTTTGGAAGCTTCATGTATTGGAAGAAACCAAAGAGCGGATCAAGCTTTCACGAAGTCCGGAATTTGACGGAACATCGAAGTCCAACGCCCGCGGGCCTTGGAATCGAAAGTCTATTGAGGAAGCGATTAATCGATGGAATGACGATATTCTGGATAATACATTGCATTGCGAGGATGATGATTTCTATGGGCCTGAAGACTACGATGATGACCATGGCTGGGAGGATGACGGTCCGACCAGCTGCAGGGACATTATCAATGACTGTGACTACGATTACTACTATTCTGACTAGGATATAGAACAGGCTAAGTTCAATCAAAATAGGAGACAGTGCCCGACTATTGATCCTCATCCCCTTCCCACCATTATGACCTGACATCCGAGTGGTTTTACAGCACTGAAATTGAGATCGAGTACATTCTCCAAGAATGCACCGTAATTTATATAAACACAATACGACTTTGTCTGAGAGGACAAAATCCCAAATAGCTTACCTCATCTTGGCATTATGGCAGTGATATCAATCAAAGAATATGGGCGGTGGCACCAATTTTACTCACCCTTATGGCTCGATTCGACTTATGTCCTAGGTATCAACCCGCTTTATGGGTGTCTGCTTACCTTCCAAAAATAAACCGTCATGATTACTGTACAGTAAGAGCTGCATGTTATGGTGAACCTCAATCAGTTGTGGCACGCCCTAAGGGTTGAGTTGCGCGAAAGACTCTGCGGTGGGGCTAGGCAACAATTATCGAATGTGTATTGATCAAGCCGATTTTGAGAAAGGCTGTACTGCTTCCGCATATTGAGAGTTTCGATGGGGAACCCTGCGTCGCAATTCAATCTAATACCAGCAAGGCGAGAGGGACCGCCGGTGAAACCAGGGTCGGTCGAGCTTTTTTTGTTTTGATATTTATCGGGTTTTGAGCACCTCCTCGCTTAGGGAGATATTTTAGACAAACGAGTCAGATCCGCTCGGCTCTATCAGTCGTAATATAATAGGAGAAAGCAAAATGGTTACAGGCTGACTTCACGAAGATGATGTTCGAGTAGAAATTTCCGTATCAGAAAACTGATCTGAACGCTATATACACATAGAAATCAATGTCTGGACTGACCCAAGTACCAAAGCTCAGTCTAGCCGATGCTTTTTCTTAATATGGCGCTTGAGATTATCTCTCCTTCCGTTTGCAAAATATGTGCAACCGGGATGAGGACAATAGGCCATGCTGCGACCAATGACCTTATGGAGTGATTGCTCGTGTCGCGTGAGGTCTCTTTGGGTTGCAAACCCCATGGTGCATGCATTCATGGGACATTTGAAGGGACGTGTATGTGTTTTGCGAAACCGAGATGGAGCCTACGAAAAGGGCATCACGCCCTCGCTGAAGATACAAGATTCCCAATCACCAGGGACTTTGGCGGAAACAATCGAGCAGAAAGCAGAGGCCTTCCGGACTGCCTTCTTCCCACAACCGCCCCCAGCTGACCTCTCTGACACGGAATCATTTCAATACCCGCAGCCGATCGAATTCCCACCAATTACGGCTCAAGAGATACAGGAAGCAGTGAAGGGAGCGAAAGCAGGGAAAGCGCCAGGAGAAGACGGCATTCCGAACTCTCTGTGGCACAAACTTATCGAGATACCAGTCATCCTGGACGTGCTTGTCCAACTGTTCAACGCCTGCATACGCACTGGATACAACCCATCGCACTTCCAGCGCTCAATCACAGTTGTCCTCAGGAAACAGGGCAAAAGTGACTATCAGCTTGCCAAATCATACAGACCGGTTGCACTGCTAAACACGCTCGGAAAATTCTTGGAATCGATAGTTGCGCGAAGGATCAGCTACGCAGTAGAGTCGGAGGGACTACTCCCTCGAACTCACCTGGGTGGTCGACGCGGTATATCCACAGATCATGCTATTCACATCATCATTGACCGCATCAAAACTGCATGGGGAAAAGGCAAGCCAGTGGTGTCCCTGTTGATGTTAGATGTCTCTGGGGCGTATGACAATGTTTCCCATGCTCGCCTCCTCCATAACCTCAGAAAACGACGCCTGGGGCACTTCGTTCCCTGGGTCAAGGCGTTTTTGTCCAACCGCAGCACAAGAATCCGCATGCCTGAAGGCATATCCGGTATAATCCCAACACCTACAGGCATCCCGCAAGGGTCGCCGATATCACCAATCCTTTACTTGATCTACAATGCAGACCTCATTGAGAACTGCGGGACAGGAATTATTAGCAGTGGTTGGGTAGACGATGTCTGTTTTATGGCCAAAGGGGACAGTGAACGCGAGACCATTGAGAAGCTCAAGACTGCATGTCGCAAAGCCGACCAGTGGGCTGAGAAACATGCATCAGTCTTCGACCCCAAAAAGTACGCCCTCATACACTTCGTCAATACCAAAGAAGTCGACCCACAATACCTCCCACTACGTCTACAAGAACACACTGTGCGAGCCACGGAGACAGCCGAGAGATATCTGGGATATTGGTTAGATCCGAGCCTGGAATTTCATCATCACCGGGAGAAAGCCGTGGCAAAGGCTAGCATCTCTCTCAAAGCGTTACGAAGCTTAGCAGGATCGACGTGGGGAGCCTCGTTGTATGCCATGCGCAGGATTTATCAAGCAGTAATCATACCGCAGATGCTCTTTGGCGTCTCCGCATGGTATCAGCCTATGCACGTTAGCAAAACCAAGGCCCAATCAATCTGTCGGCCCTTTGCGGCCATCCAAAAACAAGCAGCGTGTCTCATCAGTGGAGCTTTCAGAACCACAGCGGCGGAGGCACTGAACGCAGAGCTGTACCTACCACCCATCTCGATCCACATGAATCGACTGGTGAAAGAAACGGCTCTTCGACTACGAACAGGACCGAAGCTTGGTATACCACCAACAATGGTGCGACGCCGAGCGGCACACGAGAGAGTCTGGGCTGGATGGACACCAATGGAGGCGCAGACCTGGAAGATGGGCGGATGCCTCACGGCTCTCCCGGGAACTTTGGCAGGAATCTGGGAGAACCGAAAAGCATTCGTCCTGGCACCATGGCAAGCGCCGCCGGGGGTGATCATTCAAGACAGAGAGGCAGCAGTAGCATTTCATGAACAGATCGTGGTGAAGGCATCAAAGGAGCGACCCTTGATAATTTATACCGATGGAAGTGGAATTGAAGGAAGAGTGGGGGCAGCGATGGTGATCGACCTCGAAGACCATGTCGCCCACAGCCAGATGAGCGACGATAGCACAACGACCGTGTATGCCGCAGAGCTACGCGCGATCGAGATGGCACTGGAGTCAGTTGTGAACAGTACAGAGCCCTGGGTCGCGCAAGCAAAGAATGGACTGGTCATCTTTGTCGACAGCCAGGCTGCGCTAAAAGCGCTCCGCCGACCTCGCATGCCCTCAGGTCAAGTATACCTGGTAGGATGCCTGGACCTCATCCGTCGACTAGCGGAGAAAGGAATCACAACCGAACTCAGGTGGATCCCAGCGCACCAAGGAGTGCTGGGCAACGAGATCGTAGACCAGCACGCAAAAGACGCGGCCCAAAAACCCGACGATCCACAAGACCCTCTCAATCGATACATTCGCCTCGCGGCAGCGACAAAGCGTCGATTCCGCCAAGAGGCGAGGATCGAGTGGGAGAGAGCATGGGCATCAGAGAAGACCGGTCGTCCGACCAGAAGGCTGATCGAGACACCGAACAAGAAAACACTGGAATACTGGTCGGGTTTACGCAAAGCAACTGCCTCCATCCTGATGCAATTGCGGACCGGGCGCATCGGACTGAATGCGTATCTGGCTCACATCAATCGGCGCGAGACCGCACGATGCGATTGCGACTTGGGCAACCAGACTGTGACACACGTCCTACTTGAGTGCCCGTTGCATCAAGAAGAGCGCGATGAGATGCGCAATGCCCTGTCTGAGCAGGGCATCACGCTTTGTCACGAGGAATTGTTGACGCGCCTCGAGGCGCGCACAATGGTGGCAGAGTTCATGATCAGAACCAATCTCCTGGGTCAGTTCCAGGGGCTGGATCCAATAGCTCTCGGAACAGAGAAACAATGATCCCTATGGACAGTGTGACGGAAGGAGATGAATATTGCCCGCTAGGAGTGCGGTGCCAGGTCCACTGTACTCCCTTGAATCGAACGTGCACACAAGCGTCTGCTGGCAGCGGAAGAGGAGGTGGAGAAAGGGGAGAGCTGGGGTCAGAGGTGGACCAGGGGTCCCAACGAAAGCGGTGAGGACCAGGAACGTTCATTTTCATGCGGGCCAAGTGGCTGTGGTTGAACACTTGCAGCCCGCTTTCTTTTTGTCTTAGTTTATTCTACATTCGATATGGTCAGAGAAATGCTCAAAAGATGAGCCTCTCTCTATCATGTACAGGGCTGGATACCCATTTTTAGCTGTCGGCAGGCTCGATAGCACTCCCGCATAGCAGCATTTACATAGAGCAAGCTACATCGGGCAAATGAATTCATCATCATCATCATCATCAGATTCTCAATTGATGAATTTACATAAAATCATCAATGTGGCCTGTAATCCCTTCAGATGTGTAAAGCAGGGCGATGGGGGCAGTGATCTACATGCAGAGAATATATATTTCCAGGTCGATGGCGTTCATTGTTTCAGTGTAATATCCACTCAAAAGGGTGACAGAAATAAATGACCAAAATTACACCAGATGACTAATCAAGATTATCCACGATTTATGCATGTTTTTGGGTATTTTGGGCAACCTGCGGGTACCCGCCAAGAACCCATGGGCGGGCTCATCAAGGCCAAAACCCGCGGTGGGTTGCCCATGGGCGGGTAAGGAAATTGTTGGAATATCCCGATTGCTGAGATAATGAGGCTGGATTCACTTGCATACATTGACCTACCTTTCACTTCACTTGTATCTAAGCAATACAAGAAACAGAACAACTCTTTCTTGGCAAAAACGTTTTCTTGGAATATCTAGCCAACCAGAGGTCGCAGGACCTCAAGAATTAGTTTACCGTAGTCGTAACTTCAAGCGCTACCATCTGATACCTGCTTCATAGGGAAGATGGCAGCGGCGATTGCGACTGGTGCGAATGCACAGAATTTGCCCCCTGTCAGGAGAGGAACACCAAAAATCACGGCCCTCGCGGACCCGCCCCGATCCATGGACGAGATCGCGGAAGGGGCCCGCAGGGTGCTTAACCACATCGAAAACAGTGGCACGGAAGACCGATATGTCACTGGATATATTCGCTCCGTCCGCCAGTACGCACTTAACGCCCAA